CACCGATTGAATCTTCCTCTCAGTTACTTGTGCCGTGGTCAAGGGGGTTATGTAGAAGGGTGTCTGATGTTGACTGCGTTAGAGCAAAAAAGCAGAATTTCTTAGTCACTAATGCGAATAGAATCTATTAGATTTCGCATAGAAGATAATAAACTTCGTCCATTGACAAATACGCGAGGATATGGCAACATTCTTTTTTGCACTGCAAAATTCGTGAAGAAGGACCTGCGGCGATTCTTACAGGCCGCAAATTGAGTCTTAATAGGCAAAAACCGAGTTTTATTGTAAGCCAAGGGAACAAATTGCACCCAAACGGGGACGAACCAATAGACACTTACAACTCAATGCTACATTTGGCCTTCGCTTGCGTGTTGAGTGTGTTCAGGATGAGGTAGGCTGAGACATCAGCGCCCACATTGAGATTTGTACCGTGTACGCGGATTAGTGTTCCACCCGCGACTGGCCCACGCGAGGGCACAAAGTCAGTGATGGAGGGCGTTAGAAAGTGGAACGGCACAGAACTCACCTACATAAAGACAGAAAATGTGATGAAACTAAGACAAGGAGGGGAGGGGGTGTGTCGTGTGTATACTAGACACAAATGTGGACAGTGAACCAACCTCACTGGAGACCCCTAGGACGGTCAAGTTAAGCCGAGCGGTCACGAGTTCCTTTCCGTTGATGGATGACATTTCATCAAGACGACACTGGAATTGTCGAGAAGGCAAGAATCCGACCGAGGAGGTGCGACAGGCTACTTCTGTGTCAGCGACGAGCTTGAGAATCAGTTTTTGCGGATCTGATCCCAGATTTACGCCCCTAACATAGAGAGTCGTGCGGCCATCAAAAGTAGCATTCTCAGGTGATACCTAAATTTAAAGATTGTATAAACAGCAGAATTTAATGGAGTTGAAAATTTCGAGAGAGCTAATCAGCCGCTTCCTCTCGCTGCATAACGTGAGGAACACATGAGAAAATACAAAATTAAATTCATACAGAAAAGTTCAATAAGGTCATAGGATTTGGTCACGAAGGCTAATCAGTAAAGTAAGCATGTCAAAATACTGTGGAAAGTAAAATGAAGAAAAAGACGTTAAAGCGAAAGGCCGGGCAGGGAAATGTGTAAATCAGGGAGCCGGATGTTACCGGAGCAAAGTTAGGTTAACCATATACTCTAACTGTTTACGTAGGTCGGGTTTTGACCGCCGTGTATAGGCTGCCACCAGGTAACGCAAGGTACGAGTTGTTTGTGCCCGAACAAGAACTCGGAAACAGGTTTTGGAGTCCAGAGAATAACCCGTATCAAGGAAGTATTCACTAGTGGATGAGCGTTGAGTGCCGTTTCCTATTTTAATAGCCAACTAGGCACGTGCTCTTTGGCTGTAGCTGCCAACTGCCGTGGCCTTCGCCCTAGGTAATTGCATCATAAACACAATTTTAATTGGCGTGCAAGGCATCCTTCGCAAATGGAATTGGTAGGGGCTTTCTTGGATTGCATAACATGAATTCGGCAGTGAGGTGTACAATGTGATGGAACCGTTACGAGAGAGCGTACTATAAAAAAGACGTGTTTTGAAAAAAGAAGCTCGAAGAAAACAGCAAAGGGGTAAGCGCGAGGTTGCCGTTGATGCTTGAATCCGAAGCCACCAGTACCACGGGCGCCACTACAAAAATCGACAGGGTAGTGAATTCAGCAATCAATACGTCTCTTTAAAGAAGAGGACGTACGTGCTAAACTTTTTTTTCGATCAAAAAAACCGAAGAAAATCCAGACAGCGAACGGCGTGGCCGACATTTAAGCCAGTAAGTATACACACCATAAAAGGACACTTAGGTATAAAACATGAGTCAGACAACGAACACGATTGTGTAGCCGGCTTGAACGTTGAGAACCTAAACAAAAGCAGGATCTGGAGCCTACGCTTACCTGAACTGTGGAACATTAAGTAAACGTAAAAACGTGAGAAACATAGCAGACCGATGACCCACCTCAAGATTTGAGTGTGGTCCGATTAAAGATGCATTCACTTTGCGATTAATGCCGCAACATCGAAACTATTACAGTCGTTAAAATAGTAAAAGTGATAAGACGCATACTGTGAAGGCAGTCTTGACTTTTACACCTTGGTGGACAGACAAGTTTCAGATAGGAAGTAGATGCGGTGTTGCTGAGACATGAACCTTATTCGACTGACCTTTCGGATTCCTGCTCGGCACTTTTTACAGAGGGAGTTGACTGCATCGTATAAATACTGCAACTTCCGATATAGGAATTACCCCTCGCTGAAGCTGTTTTTAAAGATGGATAAGAGCTGGAGTCCGAAACGTTGACTAAATAAGAGCATACGCAAAGGTAACCAGGTACGCTGAACATTTGCCCAATTCGCTTTTAAAGGAAGAAAACATAGTACCACGATCTTCGATTACTAAACGCCTGCTAAACAGTGGTCACTCGGTCAATCTCAAAACAGTCTTTCAAGTACGTGTTTGGGCACGAATAAATTGGACCCTGTGTTATTTGGAAGCGGCCTAAATATGGCGGGAGAAACTCTACCCGTGCAAGCAGCTAGATCACGTAGTCAATCTCCAATCACCAGGGTAATTGGGCAGCTAGGTTTAATCCCGACTTTGTTTGCCCCAACTTCCTCTGCCC